AAGGGTCCTCCAGCGCACAGGCTTTTTGGATCCACCCACCAACTTACTGAGCATTTGATTCTGTTTGGGATAGAAATCAGCTTGTTGATACTGGTGTAATGGGGTCTGTAGACTCTTTTGAGACATTGCTGCATTGGCCTTATATGCAACCTAGTATACGGTACCACTGATGTGGCTGCTGCCATGTGGCCTAGTAACTGGAGGCAAGTTCTTGTGGGAACTTGTGGGCTGATCTGTAGCACCTCGATAAGATGCTTGATAGACTGGAATCACTGGTGGAGCAGGGAAGCTGTTGCCTGAACACAATCGAGATATGCTCCGATGAATTCTATAGCCTGAGTGGGTTGGATCTTGCATTTGGATAGGTTAATTTGTATTCCCCAGAGCCTGGAATAGGGACATGGCTAAGGAGACCGCTTTGTGGGCCTCTTGGCTCTTGGTTGCTCTGATCAGACAGTTGTCAAGATAGGGAAATATGGATATCCCTTATTTGCGGAGATGGGCAGCCACCACTACAATAATTTTTTAGAAGACCTTTGGGGCTGTGAAGAGTCTGAAGGGTAGAACTGTGTATTGGAAATATATGTTGCCATGTGTAAACCTCAGGTATTTCCAGTGTGCTGGCAGGATGGATACATGAAAATAAGCATCCTGGAGGTCAAGAGTTGATAACCAGTCCCCTTCATTTAAAGCTGATATTATGGTAGCTAAGATCATCTTGAAGCGTTGGCATCATATGTGATGATAGAGCCTCCTGAGCTTGAGAATTGGTCTCCACCCTCCTGATTTCTTTGTTGTGAAGAAATAATGGGAGTAGAAGCCTTTGCCCCTGTGATGTTGGGGTACAGGTTCTATGGCCCGTAGGTGGAGAAGATGCTCAATCTCTTGGAGTAGAACGCTCTCATGAGATGGGTCCCTGAAAAGGGACGTGGATGGTGGGAGGTAGAAGGGATATTTGTAAAAGGAATGCAGTATCCAATCTTCATGATGTCTAGCACCCACTTTTCAGTCATGATAGAAAACCAATGGTGGAAGAATGGTAGTAGATGTTGGCAGAATAGCAAGTGGGCCTAGGGCTGTTCTAGACAGCGGAGATGTGGCAGGTTGGTTAGTGTCCTATCTATGCCTGGTTTGTCATTGCTTACTCCTGTTATCAAAATGCCTCTGAATCTGGTTGAAAGGGGAGGACTGGTATCTTTGATTGAAATATCTGTTCTGTTTGTGTCTGGCTGGAGATACATGAATACCAAGGATTTTCAACCTCATCCTGGAATCCTTGAGTGAATGGAGAGATGCTTCAGTAGTGTCTGCGAACTGCTTTAATCCCTGGAAAGGGAGATCATCTACCATGGCCTGAACTTCAAGAGGAAACCCTGACAGGTGGAGCCAGGAAGATTTTCTCATCACGATGGCAGTAGTGATGGATCATGAAGCTGTGTTGGATGTGTCGAGGGCAGCCTGCAGGGCCGTGCGGGAGATCAGAATTGCTTTGTTTATATTGGCAGAAAACTGTTCTTGTCTGTCATCTGATACATTGTCAATCAAGAGTGAGAGCTGTTCAAAGATGTGGTGGGTGTATTTTGCAAACGTTGCTGTGTAATTTGTTATACGAAGCTGAAGAGAGGATGAGGAATAGGCCTTTCTGCCCATGAAGTCTAGCTGCTTCCACTCTTTATTATATGGGGTTGTGTGCGTGGCGCTCTGTTTGCCCCTCTGATTAATTGCACCCTGCACTATCGAATTGAGGGACAGATGGGAAAATAAGAAATCTGCGCCCCGTGGGGCCACGCAATATTTATGGTCAGGTCTCTTCCAGACTAGTGGGATTGTGGCTGGTGTCTTCCTTATGATTTTGGCAGAGTCCTTAAGCGCAGGGTCCATGGGTAACGCCAGTTTGAAGGCCAGTGAGGCATGGAGTATACCTGGTCAGCTTGTGTTGAATTTCAGGAAGGGTGACCAGGGAGACCTCAAGGAAATCTGCAATGCACTTGTAAAGTTCTTGGAAAGAACAGAAGTCGTCTCCTGCAGTAGAAGGCAGGGGGCATGACGGTGTCGTCTGGAGAAGAGGAGGAAATGTGTGTTGTAGGATAGGAGGAAGTAGACAACTCCTCATCAATGGATGAAATTGTCTCTTCTTCTTGGTAAAGCGATCTGTCCAGTGATGGCAGGGATATTACTCTGGAGATAGGAGCAGTTGGCATGAGCTATTGTACTTGTTGTGGGTGTTGGGCTCGATATGGTGCTCACAGGTCCCAAAAGGACCAACTGAAAGGAAGTTGTATGGTAGGGGGTAGCCATTGCAGTGGTTGTTGCTGTACCACTGCATGGTGTACTTGTGGCTGAGGCTGCTTTCGGGAGGAATGCCTTGGGGAGGGGGTGCCGACCAAGGGCTTCTCCTCATCATCACTTGACAATGGTGGTGCTGAGCCTGGCGTGCCTGAGCACAAGAAGCTGCCCAACGAAGGCATGCCGCTAGTGCTGAACAGAGGTGTTTTGGGCATTGAGGACACCCTGAGATCCTCCGCAGTTGTGAATGGGGCCAATACCTACGTATGTGGTGCCGAGGGCAGATGAGATGGGACTATGGCTAGTACCTGCAGAGCCAACTGTACTGAGAAAGTGTCGGTGCCGCATGCTTGTGCCTCTTTGGTGCAGGGAGTGGCATGGGTGCTGATGATGCCATATGAGACTTCAGCTTTTTTGTGCCAGCGGTGCCATGACCATAGACGGCTTGGTCTTATCTTTCCTCAGTACAGATGTGTGTGCTGACGGTGCCAATGGTGTGGATTTTACTTGTCTTTGCCTGGAACCTTGCTCAACTTAGGTCCTTGGACCCTCGGGAACCTTTGGTGCCAGACAGTCCTGGAACATCCCTGCGTGGAGCCCTAACTGGGGTTGGAGCAAGGGGCACTTTGGGTGCTTGCTCCCATGTTTTTGAGGGAAAATCATCATTAATGGAGGAGTGAGATCTCTTCCTAGGTTGATCAGAGGAAGAGTCTCTTGAAGCAGAGCTGCCAGACATGGCTCTTTTGGACATGGCCAGAGGTGACAGCTGGCGCCGGGGAGAGAAGTGCTTCGGGTCAGAGGCCAGTCTCACCATCTTCTTCAATGAAAGGTGTTTTAATTGAAACTCCCATGCCTTCCATGTATGAACTGTTAGTTGTCTGCAGTGCTGGCGCTGTGTGGTAGCGTGTGCCTGACCGAGGCAGCACACACACTGGGAATGACCATCTGTGACGGGGATGGAAAGCCTGCAGGAGACGCAGCATTTGAATCCTGGGCAACCAGGCATCCCAGGGAGAGTAGAACTGTTGGCCAAACTGATGGCGATCTAACAGAGAAAGTCTTTCTTCTTCTTTTTTTTCCCTTCAATAAAGAAAAACCTTAACTCTAAACTATCAAAAAAAAACAAAAACCCCAACAACCCTGTAACACTAACTATTAACAGGGTAAGTGCTGAACTACAAGATGAATTAGGAGAGCAACTGTAGTTCTGGCGGCGGCAGAGAAGGAACTGAAGGAATGGTTTCTGCCCATGTGTGGTACCGGCACCACACATGCTGCTTGCCTCGCGTACACAGCCTACTGGAGAGCATTGCTACCGTAAATCTCTGACTAGGTCCATAGTGGCGCCACAAGGCCTAAAGTGGAGCACCCACAGGGACAGTCCTCGAAGAACCCATATCTCTCTCCTCCCATGTGAGTGCCCCAATTACAACAGGCTATGCTTAGGTGGATCTCTCTCAGACTCTTCTTTTGAAAGTGTTTCACTTTGTGTCAAATATTTTAAAAGTCATTGAGCAAGAAGCAAAGTGAGAATGACTCCATAGCCTCATGGGTAGGGCATGCACTTAGGAGACGGGATACCCAAGCTCCTGCTCCACAGTCCGAGCGCCCAAACTACTTGGCCAAAAGTTATGACTGGGCGCCATCATCACTACCGCCTTTTAGTTTGTGAATCAAGCCCCCCTCCTCCTTGGGGCTTGAGTTTATGTGATGAAGTGGGGATTTTATTCACTCTGGTCTCTTTGTTATGCTGTATGTGATTCCTACTGTCCTGGGCTGTTCTGTAGTAACTCTGTGTGCATGCCTCAGTTTCCCTGGCTATTGCACTGGTGCCTTGCCGTGGATGGGAGTTTTGGGAGAGACTCTCACTGAGGGAAGGCTGCCCAGCCCAGCATGTACACAATGGCTGAGGCTCTCCTGTAACCTGAGCCTAGGTGAGAGATTCAATCAGGTGAAGCCAGACAAAGGAGATGGGGCTGCCTGCAGGGCTGGGATTGGTTGCTGAGTGTGTGGGTTGGTCTCCGCTAGCTTAGGATACAGGGAGTCTAGCTGGCTTGGGGAAAGGGAGGGCTCTGGCCCCCTATTCCCAAAGGGTAGTGTGCTGACTGCTTCTGGTTCCTGGGCTAACAAGTCTGTTCTACGCTGTATCCCTGTGAACTAATAAATATTTTGTTTTACCTGATGGCTGAGAGTCACGTCTGGCTGCAGATGGGAGTTCAGAATCCAGCTACTCCCCACCCCTCAGTGACAGAGGGTGTTGTCATGCCCTCACTAGGGCTACATCTACAAGGCACACGATACCATCTACATGTTTTGTTAGTCTATAAAGTGCTACCAGACCATTTGTTGTTTTTTTCTGTAACACACTAACTTGGCTACCCCTGAATCTTCTATTCCAGAATAGTTATTCCAAAATAACTTATTTCGAAATAGTACGTCTATACTTCAGGGAAGCTTCAAAATGAGTCAGTGGTAGTTTCTCTATCATAGATGTGCTACCTCGATTTAGAGCCCCAGGAGGAATAACTTAGAATGACCTTGGGGATGAAACGAGAGTTACATCTGGCTGCTGATATGGGTGCAGAGCCCGGTGGTCCCCCCACACTCTGTGACCATTGCATGTTTTATGTTTACACTCCATGTAAACACTGGAAAGAACCTTCTCTTCCCAAATGCACAATTTATTATCCATACAAAGAATATTCTGCTCTTACCTAGAGCTGCCCTTTGAATGTGCCGCTGGGTTATCTCTCCTTTCAGATGGTCTGTGAAAGACACAAAGTGTAAGTGGTTAAACAGCTTTCAAAAGCGTGCAAGACTAATGAAGTCCTACTTGCATCTCATCACTTGAAATTTCCCATGAGGCCAGCCAAATTACATGGGTGCACAGGAGTGGAAGTGAATCTTAACTCTCCCCAACTTACCTACTATAGCTAAACTGGACCAGGTCTATTTCAGTTCCATATACCCTAAAATATAAGAAACACTGAGTGTTCCCTTTCTTAATATCATTATCTTCTTACTGCTAAGTATGTTGCCATGACCTATGCAATTTCCCTTCAAAATTCTGTTATCAGCTGTCCTTTGATCTTGTGCCACTGGTTTAGTGCAACGATTATTTCATACCATAATTAAATTGCTGGATGAATAACCATTATTCATGAATAAAAGTTCAACCAATTAAAAATACAACTTCGGCCATTATGTGTGGTTTGAGAACAGGTGGGACTTTCTGTTTATAAATATGAACAAATTAAACCATTAAAGATGGCATGTGTTTAAGAGGATTGTCTTAGAGAAGGAGGAAAATGTAAACCATTAAAGATCTTTAACACTAGGCCGGTCCATTTCCTGAGAACCAGTAAAACATAAGAAGTTAAATGTCTCAGGGTATGTCTACACTACCCCCCTAGTTCGAACTAGCGGGGGTAATGTAGTCATCCGCAATTGCAAATGAAGCCCGGGATTTGAATTTCCCAGGCTTCATTTGCATGAAGCCGGCCGGCACCATTTTTAAATGCCGGCTAGTTGGAACCCCGTGCCGCGCGGCTACACGCGGCATGGAGTAGCTAGTTCGGATTAGGTTTCTAATTTTGATTTTTTTGTTGAAAAATACAAATAGTTGAGTCACAGAGCTGAACAGAAAGGGGTGTTTATATTAGTCAGGTTTGGGCTACACTTACCAGTTTTACTGGTATAACCATGTTGGTAAAAGGTGTGATTTTTTTCCCCCACAGAAATACTTACTCCAGAAAAAGCCCTAATTAGACACAGTTATACTTGTATTAAGATAATTTGGACCAAATCAATATTGCAAACTTCTGCCAGGTATGATATCAGTATGATTTGTGACCAGCAGACGTGTACAGAAAATGTCCTTAATGTAGACAAGTATGTCCCTGCAAAACTGTGCCTTTATCAGTATAGCTAGTTTCACTCAAGAGGGGTCTAGAAGGTACATTTTTGCTTTTTTAGGCTGCATCCACACAAAGAGGCTTTGGCCAGTGTATTATAGCAGTATTAGGGATGTAAAATAGTAGTTGATCAGTCAACTACCTGATAAGTCTAGGCCTATGGGGTAGTCAAGTCAGCTACTCACATTCCACCCCCCTTGCTGCCTATATCAGAGGCAGCAAAGGGGGGGGGGGGGGGACAGGAAGCAGGAGCCAGTGCAGGGGGGAGCTGGCTTAAAGAACTGCTCCCCCCAGCACCATCAGCATGCTGCTGCTTCCCCACTTCCCCCATGCTGGGGTGAAAGAGAGGGCCAAGGGAGGCTGCTCCAGCTGCAGCTGCTGTTTGTGCGGGACTGTGTCCCAGAGTGGAGTTGGGATCCCCCATGGACAGGAGCTGCTGTGGTAAAGCAGCCCCCATCCACAGGGGTACCAACTCCCTGCTGGGACCCCCTATGGACAGGGGCTGCTGCTGACGCAGTCTCTGTTCATGGCCAGCCCCAGATGCCGCAAACAGCAGCTTAGTATTGCCTTAATCTTTGTATTCATGCCCATCAGTGCAAAAGAAGCTATTTGCATATATTTGCATATGTATTTGCATGTATATGCAACCACATCTAAGTTGCGGCCCTCGGCATGTGCTCCTCAGATTATATCAGGACAGTAGCGCCATCTATCCACATCCACAGTGGGCTTCCAGAAACATTTGGATTTAAGGCTGCTCGGACATCAGTGGCACCAAGGTTGGGGCAACTTTGCTCCGTGACTGGGGAGGCTCGAGCCACCTGCCCTCCCCCTGCTCTGGGGCCACGAAGGTTGGTGCCAGGCACCATCCACTCAGTGGGAGGGAGGAGGTGGAGAGTGCTAAGGGCCTGACAATGGTGGGGGCTTGGCTCCCATGGGCCTTGGGGGTTAGGGACAGGGCTTGGGACAGAAGGAGAAAGTGTGGGGCTTGCCTACCCCATCCCTAAGTTCATCCACCACTCACGAACTGTTGTATACTTGCTGCCTGGCTCAGTACAGTGTGACCAGCTGAACACAATACAGAGCATATGAGTTGTTAAATATTCAAACCAATAAAAAGCAATTTTGTATTTAATCACATTTCATTGAGAAGTCTCTCCAAGGGAGTTGTAGTCTAAGGATTTCAAAAGATGTTTGTTGTGAACAATCATTTCACTGAATCTTTATCTGTAACAACCACTTCCATGTGGTCCACTCTCTCTAGTTAAATCAGTACTGAAAATAGCAGCATTTGATTGAGAGTTTGAGTTCCAGGGGTGGAGGAAGGTTGTTTTGGTATTTTTTACATTTCCTTCAATTAATCTGCTTCTCAATATTCAAAGATCTATATCTGTATAATAATTTTAAGAAGAGCATTTAGTACAGAGAAGAACATGGGACCCTTATCAAATTTGGAAAGACATTTGCAAAAAAGGGATCAATCATATCTCTTGTGTACTGAAAACTTCCATTGGCACTAAACATCACAGTGCGGACTCTCCTTCTCTCCACGGCTCAGGTGTCTTGAATTTACTGTCAGCACTGCTGGCAAAGGATGGGAGTGGCATAAGCTGGATATTAACCAATCGTGGTAGCTCACCAATTCTGAGTTGGCCAGATACTGAAGGGTCTAATAGTATGTCTGCACAAGAGCCAGGAGAAGTGATTCCCAGCTCAAACAGATATACAAGCCCAGCAGGGACAGCCTCACTGTGGCTGAGCCGGAATGCACCACACACCTTCCATCAGGACAGTGAGTGGTGAGTGCTACTCTGCAGCTCTGCAGGGGAGGTGGGTGGGCGCAGAATTTTTTGTGCACAGTGGTGCAGGCACACCCCTTAGAGGGAACACTGATTGTACTGCATCATGGGAGATGTAGCTTGACTGGGAAGCCTTGCCTATAGGGGGAAATGGCGTTAGGCACTCAAAATGTTGTTCCCATGAGGCACTGCAATGGCTCAGGTGGACATGGTTTAATATTGAACTGACCTGAAATGGTTTGAAATATTTCAGTTTGGATCAATTTGAGCAAAAAATTGATATTATGTTTGGATTTTCCCAAAAGAAACTTTTGGGTTTCAGGTGAAAATTCTTGGTTTTCAATAAAAAGTTGAAATTTTGTGGAGAAAAGTTTTCCCTTTTTTTGTTTTCATTTACATTTTCAGTGAAAATTTTTTTTGTCCATGTCTACTCACAACTGCTCTAGAACACAGGTAATCCTAAAGCAAGTTTGAAAGTTAATTAGTGACAGAATTAGGAGATAATTCCAGAACTATTACCTGTACAAACCTTTTCATATAAATAAACAGAAGATTTCAGCCTCTAGTACTTCCAGTTTATAATCTTCACAAACAAATATTTATTCGAAGTACAATGAGGAACCACATGCTCACAAAGAAAAATATCTCTTGATCCCAATAATGTAAACTTATAGACAAGGTACTTTTAAATGTGGTTTGCAAAAACTGAATTTAAGACTTGGCGAACATCTCTTTCCTGATGACTAATTATGTTTTCTGAAGTCTCACCAAACAAGCAGCTAAAAATAGCCCTGCAGCTGATACCAAATCATTTTTTCCAGTGGAGTCATTCTTCATTTGGAGATAACAGTCTCAATAAAATGTTGAATGCTGCAACTCCACATGTTTTGGCAAAAAAGTAGTTTTGGGGAATTTAAAAATTCACTCAGCATGCAGCTTGCTGTCATCAGGGCTGAGATAAATCTGTTGTTTTTGGCCTCTGTTCCTGGACACATGTACCATCCTGAGGTATGGAAAGGAGATGGAACAGTAACAGAAAACTCTAGCCTTGTGACAGGAGTAAAAAGGCACAGAGAAGACAAACAGAAAAAAAAAAGGTAACCGAAGAATAATCTGAAGCATGGAAAAAGCTTCATTCATGAGGATGCTGCTAATTAAACATCATATTCAGTGATTTAAGGGCTACAGACTTCTTCTCAAATTACATGTAATTAACTAGCAACTAGTGTGAAAACAAACTATGCCAAGTTTTCCTTCAACTTCCATTTTAGCAAGCCTGTTACTAAATGGCTGCATTCATAACTCGATAATGAAGTCAGAGAGCCCCTCACCAAGGAAGATGCCATTAAATGGGAATGTTTCCAGCTTGTATGTAGTTTAAATACAATACCAAACTTGTACAATCTCAGCTGAACTACAGTGCTTGCCATCTCCTACAGCTAGGATCTGGAACCAGTTTAGGAATTTCCCTTCTAATGGAGGATAATATTTAGGCAAGATGAAAATCTACTGTAACATTTTTTGTGTTTAATAATGTTACTTCAGACTCTTTCAGAGATCCGAAGGGAGCTATGTTCCAAAATATCACAGACAAGAAAGCTTTGATTCACCACATAAAAGAAATGAGCACTCCGAAATTTTAGAAATATTGGGGGGAAAGATTTTTCAGGGCTTCTTTTGAATTTTTATCACATTTGAAGTTTCTTTTATGTTGAATCAGACATTCCACAAAATGATTACATTAGAGATTGTGAAGTTAGCAGGCCTAAGAATGAAAAGTCTGGAAATGTTGACACTGAAATTGCATATGCAACTAGAACTGATCCAAATGAGAATTTCCATCTTGCAGGAAATTTTGATGTTTCAAAATTGTTTTTTTTTTTTGTTCTGAACTGGAGCAAAATTAATTTTAGAAATGGAATTTGCAAAATGTTTTAGTTTTGGAAAAGTTTTATTTTGTAATTTTAAAATTTTGTATTGGCTGTTGCAGAATTTCATTTTGTTTTATGCTTTTTTCATTGTTTTATTGTTCATTTCATTTTATAATTCTTA